CTTGTTGAGAGGGGGTTGGCCCTGGCAGAGAGACTAGAGGACGGAGAGAGAGAACGAGAAGAGGACAGGAGGAGTGAAGTGGGGGAAGAGGAGGAGGGAAGTGGGCGGGGCGTTGTTGACCTCACTGCCGAGGAGGAGGAGAAAGAGAAGAGAACAGAGTGAGTGAATGAGAGAGAGGAAGGAGAGATGGACACACACACATTATGTTTTATCATTGCTGTTTTGATGGTTTTGTTTGACTTAATTTGTTTGATCATTGTGGTAATGTATTTGACTAAGAATCGTTTCTCTCTCTATTTCTCTTGGTCTGTGGTAGGCCCACAGCGAGGCCTACCCCGGCAGCCTATGTTGCCCAGAGAGGGAGTGAGGTGCCTGGGGTAAGCTCCTCAGGAAAGCCCCAGGCTGTAGAGACAAAGACTAGGCCGGCTGGAGGCTGTCTGTACCCAGGCAGTTATGACATAGTGCTATGTGTGGACTTCATTGAGACTACTGGGTAAGAGGTGTGTCTGTGTATGTCTAGGTGTGGTTGAGTTTGAGGTTTCTGTGTAGACACAACATGTGGTCGCGCAAGTGATGGGGGGGAAAAAATCCATAGTTACATATTGGGATATTATTTTGGACTATATATCATAATATTATTTTTGCGCTAGTTGGCAGTACCTGCAACAAAACTCCAGTATCTTTCCTTCATAGCTTGTTCTAGGTAGCTTGGCGGGTAGGAGCGTTGGGCCAGAAAGGTTGCTGAATCGAATCCCCGAGCTGACAAGGCAAAAATCTGTCGTTCTGCCCCTGAGCAAGGCAGTTAACCCACTGTTCCCCGGGTGCCGATGACGTGGATGTCCATTAAGGCAGCCCCCCCCGCACCTCTCTGATTCAGAGGGATTGGGTTAAATGTGGAAGACACATTTCAGTCGAATGCATTCAGTGGTACAACTGACTAGATATCACCCTTTCCTTTCTCCATGTTCTTTTTAAATAGGGAGACAATTTGTTTTCAGAACTTGTGTTTCCATGATCGATCGAAACTGGTTTTCTCATGGCTCTCTCTGTCCGTCTGCAGCAGACATATGGTGAGCAATATGTTTGGAACATCGAATCGTAAAATAAAATCACAGTATCGAATCGCAAAACATAGAATCGTGAGAATCGCAATACATATCGTATCAGCACCTAATTATCATGATAATATCATATCGTGAGGTCCCTGGTAATTCAATACATATCGTATCAGCACCTAATTATCATGATCATATCGTACCGGGAGGTCCCTGGTAATTCAATATATATCGTATCAGCACCTAATTATCATGATAATATGGTATCGGGAGGTCCCTGGTAATTCAATACATATCGTATCAGCACCTAATTATCATGATAATATGGTATCGTGAGGTCCCTGGTAATTCAATACATATCGTATCAGCACCTAATTATCATGATAATATGGTATCGGGAGGTCCCTGGTAATTCAATACATATCGTATCAGCACCTAATTATCATGATAATATCATATCGGGAGGGTCCCTGGTAATTCAATACATATCGTATCAGCACCTAATTATCATGATAATATGGTATCGTGAGGTCCCTGGTAATTCAATACATATCGTATCAGCACCTAATTATCATGATAATATGGTATCGTGAGGTCCCTGGTAATTCCCAGCCCAAGTGTGCATGAGCGTGTGTGTGTTAATGCGTTCCTCTGTGTGGTGTGTGTTGTTATGGGTGTTATGCGGTTACTCCTGTGTGGTGTTGTGTTGTGTGTGTGCTGGTTAATTGCGTTCCTCCTGTGGTGTGTGTGTTAATGCGTTTCCCTGTGTGTGTGTGTGTGTGTGTGTGTGTGTGTGCATGCGAAGGGGCAGCACAGCCTGTAAGCAGGAGCTGGTGAAGGAGCTGCAGAGGAACGGCGTAACCTTTGACGTCAGGAGTTAACGTAGGTGAACTTCTGTGGGTGGCCAAGGAGAGGGTCGCTCCCGTGTCAGGTAACTGAGCTCGTCGTCTTTTTGTCTGTGCTAAAGGGGGTTATGAAAGTCAAGCCGAAATTTTCAGTTACACTAGATGGCGCCTTGTTAATGGCTATAATCACCAATCATTGGCATTTCCTCAGGGACATGTGGTTGTAACAGTTATTGAATTTTCTGACATTGTTTGTTGAACAGTTATGTGAATTTTGGAGGTTAAACACAAGGATTCAACAACTCTAGGCGACAACAACCCACAACGCCCCCAACCTCGCTCTCTCAGTGAGAGCGAGGGGGCGGCAGACCTACAAACAAAAGAAGAGGGAAGAGCGAGAGAGAACAACAAAATCCCCAAGAGGAGAGAGAGAGGGTCAGAGAGAGAGAGACAAAAAACCAAACAACAGAGAAGGACCCGTACGAGAGAGAAACAAAAAAGAGAGAGATATGATGAGCAGGCAAACAAACCCGAGTACGGCGTCGGGAGAGAGAGAGAGAACCCACACATAGCAAGAGCTCTCTTCTATCCCACCCACGCTTGCTCGCTCCCACAACCACTTCGCGCTTGAGCTCTCGCTCGCCCTCAATGACCTCACTCTCTCACTCTCTTCTCTCTCCTATCTCTCTCTCTCTCTCCCACTCTCTCTCTCTCCATCTATCCAATCCCCTCTATCTCCCCCCCCCATCCTCTCTCTCTCTCTCTCTCTCTCTCCCCATCCCTCCCCCCTCACAGGTCAGTTGCGTGCCCCCCCAAGGTAGGGAGCTGGTCCTTGATTACATCATTGAGAGGAAGAGGATGGACGACTTGTGTGGTAGCATCATCGATGGACGATTCAGGGAACAGAAGGTATGTAGGTGTGTGCTCATGGGTAACTAGTAGGATTCATCAACATACTGCTTTTTCCCTGCAGTTAGTTTTCAGACATTTCATTCTCTCTCTCTCTCCCTCCCTCTCTCCCTCCCTCCCTCCCTCCCTCAGTTTCGTCTGAAGAGGTGTGGTCTACAGAAACCTATCTACCTGGTGGAGGAGTGTGGCTCTGCTGCTGCTCACCTGAGCTTGCCTGAGACCACCCTACAGCAGGCTATAGTTAATACACAGGTAGACCTGAGACCACCCTACAGCAGACTATAGTTAATACACAGGTACACCTGATACCACCCTACAGCAGACTATAGTTAATACACAGGTAGACCTGAGACCACCCTACAGCAGGCTATAGTTAATACACAGGTACACCTGAGACCACCCTACAGCAGACTATAGTTAATACACAGGTAGACCTGAGACCACCCTACAGCAGACTATAGTTAATACACAGGTACACCTGAGACCACCCTACAGCAGGCTATAGTTAATACACAGGTACACCTGAGACCACCCTACAGCAGACTATAGTTAATACACAGGTACACCTGAGACCACCCTACAGCAGACTATAGTTAATACACAGGTAGACCTGAGACCACCCTACAGCAGACTATAGTTAATACACAGATAGACCCGAGACCACCCTACAGCAGACTATAGTTAATACACAGGTACACCTGAGACCACCCTACAGCAGACTATAGTTAATACACAGGTACACCTGAGACCACCCTACAGCAGACTATAGTTAATACACAGGTAGACCTGAGACCACCCTACAGCAGACTATAGTTAATGTAACCTCACTCCTCATCTTAAATTTCTCCACTCGCGTTGCTCAATTGCTAGCTTTTCGGTGGCGCAACTGGTTATGTTTCATTATAACTGGCTATGTTTCATTATAACTGGCTATGTTTCAATACAACTGGCTATGACTTACCTTTCCAACTCTGTCAGGTGGTAGATGGCTTCTTTGTGAAGAGAGTCCAGGATGTGAAGGAGTCTGTGGCCTACCTCACTGTCATGACCCGATACCTCACCAAACTATATCAGGTAACTATATACACACACACACACACACACACACACACACACACACACACACACACACACTTGACCAGATGCCTCACCAAGGTACTTATAAAAGCCTATTTCCCACCATAACCTGAGGGATTTGCACGATAACTTTTCTTTCATTTTCATTGCGGCATTGGAAAGGCGCAACGCTTTGCTCACCATTCACAATTCTTAGTTGTATTAAGCAAGTTTAAAAGATTGACGTTTCGGCCTACAATGGCCGCCTTCTTCATATTTGATTTTGCCACAAATGAAAATGTGGCACTGACTCGCCCATGGATTGATGTTTCCGCATCGTCTCGATGAAGAGTTCGGCCTTCGACTAGCTGGGTGCGACATGCACGCCCAGTTATAAGCCTGCTAGATGATTTTTTATTTTTTTAGGGGATAGATCAGCTTTAATATTGCAGATAGATTGTGACTTCCATAAATGTAATTGTCTGCATCATTTCCAATCCCCCATACACAGACTATAGTTAACATACAGGTACACAGGTGTATTAACTATAGTCTGCTGTAGGGTGGTCTCAGGTCCACCTGTGTATTAACTATAGTCTGCTGTAGGGTGGTATCAGGTGTATTAACTATAGCCTGCTGTAGGGTGGTATCAGGTGTACCTGTGTATTAACTATAGTCTGCTGTAGGGTGGTATCAGGTGTATTAACTATAGCCTGCTGTAGGGTGGTATCAGGTGTACCTGTGTATTAACTATAGTCTGCTGTAGGGTGGTCTCAGGTGTACCTGTGTATTAACTATAGTCTGCTGTAGGGTGGTATCAGGTGTACCTGTGTATTAACTATAGTCTGCTGTAGGGTGGTATCAGGTGTACCTGTGTATTAACTATAGTCTGCTGTAGGGTGGTATCAGGTGTACCTGTGTATTAACTATAGTCTGCTGTAGGGTGGTCTCAGGTGTATCTGTGTATTAACTATAGTCTGCTGTAGGGTGGTATCAGGTGTACCTGTGTATTAACTATAGTCTGCTGTAGGGTGGTCTCAGGTCTACCTGTGTATTAACTAGCCTGCTGTAGCATTTTTTTGTATATATATATATATATATATATATATATATATATATATATATATATATATATACACACACACACATATGCGTACATCATTTCAAAAGGGTTTTCTAATGATCAATTAGCCTTTTAAAATGATAAACTTGGATTAGCAAACACAACGTGCCATTGGAACACAGGACTGATGGTTGCTGATAATGGGCCTCTGTACACCTATTCGTGGTCAAAAGTTTTGCGAATGACACAAATACTAATTTTCACAAAGTCCGCTGCCTCAGTTTTGATGATTGCAATTTGCATATACTCCAGAATGTCAGAAATCCAGAAAGGTCTGAAAGGCTGTAATTGCTGCAAATGGAGGATTCTTTGACGAAAGCAAAGTTTGAAGGACACAATTAGTATTTCAATTAAAAATCATTATTTCTGATCTTGTCAATTTTTTTATTTAACCTTTATTTAACTAGGCAAGTCAGTTAAGAACAAATTCTTATTTACAATGACAGCCTACACCGGCCAAACCCGGACGACGCTGGGCCAATTGTGCGCCGCCCTATGGGACTCCCAATCACGGCCGGTTGTAATACGGCCTGGAATCGAACCGGGGGTCTGTAGTGACGCCTCAAGCACTGAGATGCAGTGTCTTAGACCGCTGCGCCACTCGGGAGCTTCCTTTAAAGACTGTGTAACTACAGCAGACTATAGTTATTTCTGATTTACAACTACATTTAGACTGCATTTCCTATGCATTTTGCTATATTTCCTATTCAAACTCATTTCATGTATGTTTTCATGGAAAACAAGGACATTTCTAAGTGACCCCAAACTTTTGAACGGTAGCGTGTGTATGTATGTATGTATATGTATGTGTGTGTGTGTGTGAGTGTGTGTATGTATGTATATATATATATATATATATATACACACACTACCGGTCAAACGTTTTAGAACACCTACTTACCTACACAGCTTTGCATACTCTTGGCATTCTCTCAACCAGCTTCACCTGGAATGCTCTTTCCAGCAGTCTTGAAGGAGTTCCCACATATGCTGAGCACTTGTTGGCTGCTTTTCCTTCACTCTACGGTCCGACTCATCCCAAACCATCTCAATTTGGTTGAGGTCGGGGGATTGTGGAGGCCAGGTCATCTGATGCAGCACTCCATCACTCCTTCTTGGTAAAATAATCATTACACAGCCTGGAGGTGTGTTGGGTCATTGTCCTGTTGAAAAACAAAAGATAGTCCCACTAAGCCCCAACCAGATGGGATGGCGTATCGCTGCAGAATGCTGTGGTAGCCATGCTGGTTAAGTGTGCCTTGAATTCTAAATAAATCACAGACAGTGTCACCAGCAAAGCACCCCCACACCATAACACCTCCTCCTCCATGCTTTACGGTGGGAACTACACATGCGGAGATCATCCGTTCATCCACACCGCGTCTCACAAAGACACGGCGGTTGGAACCAAAAATCTCCAATTTGAACTCCAGACAAAAGGACACATTTCCACCGGTCTAATGTCCATTGCTCATGTTTCTTGGCCCAAACAAGTCTCTTCTTCTTATTGGTGTCCTTTAGTAGTGGTTTCTTTGCAGCAATTCGACCATGAAGGCCTGATTCACACAGTCCCCTCTGAACAGTTGATGTTTAGATGTGTCTGTTACTTGAACTCTGTGAAGCATTTATTTGGGCTGCAATTTCTGAGGCTGGTAACTCTAATAAACTTATCCTCTGCAGCAGAGGTAACTCTGGGTCTTCCATTCCTGTGGCGGTCCTCATGAGAGCCAGTTTCATCATAGCGCTTGATGGTTTTTGCGACTGCACTTGAAGAAACTTTCAAAGTTCTTGAAATGTTCTGGATCGACTGACCTTCATGTCTTAAAGTAATGATGGACTGTTGTTTCTCTTTGCTTATTTGAGCTGTTCTTGCCATAATATGGACTTGGTCTTTTACGAAATAGGGCTATCTTCTGTATACCCCCCCTACCTTGTCACAACACAACTGATTGGCTCAAACGCAATAAGAAGGAAAGAAATTCCACAAATTAACTTTTAAGAAGGCACACCTGTTAATTGAAATGCATTTCAGGTGAAGCTGGTTGAGAGAATGCCAAGAGTGTGCAAAGCTGTCATCAAGGCAAAAGGGTGGCTATTTGAAGAATCTCAAATATAACATATATTTTGATTTCTTTAACCCTTTTTTTGGTTACTACATGATTCCATATGTGTTATTTCATTGTTTTGATGTCTTCACTATTATTCTACAATGCAGAAAATAGTAAAAAATAAAAAACCCTTGAATTAGTAGGTGTTCTAAATCCTTTGACCGGTAGTGTATATATTTAAAAAAAAAAAAATTCCTTTATTATTTTCCCCTAACCCTACCACCACTCCCCTAATTGGAGTAAACTAATGGACAACAACTCGTAGTCTTCTGCTGCCAGCTTATACATACTATATACATTTTACGGACCCAGTATAGTTTACAATAGTTATCTTTTGTTTGTTTTTCCCCATCCTTCAGCTCCACTCAACCCCTCCCGTCTATCTCTGAACACATCCAGTGTTG